AAATATATATATATATACTGTATATAGTGCACTGCGCTATTCAATAACTTCAAAATAAAATAAACTATATAAAAATAAACTTGTGTAAGATATAGTATGACTCTGTAAAAGTGATCTCTCACTTAGTGAATATCCTAGTGATAAATGTGAAATTATAAATGCAATAGTTTCCACAACCAATTGTGGAATCTCTATAAATCAGTGACAATATTCCATATACATTCCATAAAAACATACAAGATAGTGACCATCTATATAGTATCAGTAATCAGCAGTGATAGTCTTTGGCTGCCCATACACCTTGCGATCATCGTACAACACTTTTCGTCCGATGATTAAAACCGTTGTACGATTTTCGTGCGGCGGCCCCATCCGGCCCCGATTATCGCAAGGTTGGATCAGCAGGTAATTAAAAGAAAGCACCTGGACGAATTGCGGTAATCGACTGTAGCTCGTATGAATTTTGACGTACGGAAATACCACCAACCTTGTTTTATTTTCTTCTTTGTTGGTTTTCATCTTCCCCACTTTTTTCTCACTAACATTGCAGCTGTCAACCTCTATGTCTTTGGATTGCCACTTATAAACCTTCATTTGATCGGGATATTGGGAACTCAGTTTCCAGCTCGCGCGCGCCACGAGTGGGCGTGTCTGGCAGGACATTTAAAAACGCCCGCTCAGATCTAGGAAGCTCCCGGCCGGCTATATTTGCACAATGGCCTGCCGGGAGGCGGTTAAAGGAGAATTAAGGGATGAGTGAGGAACACTCATCCCCATAATTTAGGCCCACCTATGTTTGCAGCAATGTTATAGTTAAACTCCATTGAACTTGTAACCCTGCATCCCTGCATTTTTGCAGTTGGATTTCTCTGTGCCGCTTTGACATTGCGGTTAATGATTTTTGCAGCTGTCCAAGAGTGAAACATTCTTGGTCTTGAAATTGCATACCAGGATGTTTAATACATTACAAATGGGATTTTCAGATGTATATGAATAAGCTCTCTCTATTAGACATGTGCGAGTCGTTTCTTTCCGAATTGAAATTCTGACGGATTTTTGGGAAATCAACATTCTGATGCATCCAAATTTCTTAATGGAAAAATAATGAATCCGAACATATCTGAATTTTCTGATAGCGATCATTTCTGATGCATCTGAATTTTTAATAATGTTTTCTGAATTAATTTATGTTATTAAACGTTTAAAAAGAAAATGTGTGGCGTTTACCCCCGAAAATCACTTACCAGACCCTTGATCCGAGCAGCAGCCTGTCAGAGCAGGGGGGACTAGTGTGCGCACCCCTCCTGCACCATACTAGGCCACATGCCCTCAACATGGGAAGGGCGCGTTGCCAGAGGGGGATCCCCTGGAATAGGACCTTGTCTCCATGCTGATGAGGACAAGGGACTGTCTCTTCCCCAGAACCCTGGCCCAGTCGTTGTGGGGTCTGCGGGCAGAGGGGCTTATAGGAATCTGGATGCCCCCTTTTTATAAAGGGGGCACCCAGGTGCTGCCCCCCCCCCGTGAATGAGTAAAGGGTAGTTGTTACCCCTATTCATTCACCAAATAAAAAGAAGTCAAATTGTAAATAAACACACCACACCGTAAACAAAAGTCCTTAACTTGGAAAAAAGAACACAATAAAGGTTTTTGACAAGTCTTTTATTTTAAAAAAAAAAGTGTCCATCGATGTATTCCAAAGGTCAATCACATCATCCAGCTATGTACTGTAGATCCACATCAGTCACAATGAACAACGGCCACTGACTCGCCAAAAAAATTAAAAATAACGAAGCCCACAACCCGTCCGATCCTGACAAACACCATCGCAAAATAACAGCTCTCACTCGAATGTCAACAAAGGGGTGGAGCAAGTTGTGACGTTACTGGACTTGCTCCGCCTATTTGTTGACATTCGGCAGCAGAGCTGTCAATGTTAGTAGCTCTGCTGCCAAATGCTATTCGAGTTTTCTGAATAGCATTCAGGAGTTCCCAAATGCTATTCGGATTCGGAAGCACCGATAGGATGCACCGATACAGTTTTTTTTGGTATATAGTATGAGTGCTGATATTTTTTTATCAGTACTCGCCGATACCAAGTACCGATATCGGCATCCCCAGAAGACTGGGAAAAAAGAGAAATAAGGTATACAAAGAATACAAAGCCGGCAATTATCTATAAGTATGTGTTTGTAGATTGTCATTACTAAACATTTCTAAAGGTGTCTAAAGGTCCGCTTTAAGTGGTCAGTCACAACTAGGGATGAGATCAGGTTTGGACCGAACCTGAGCTCCTCCGAACACAGAAGATAGCTTTTCCACTGCCACCCAATTAGCTGTGGCAGGAGAATTCCCTGCCTGCAGCTGCATGTAAGCAAAGTGCCGGGGCGCTGTGAAATCATTGACCCTATATGGCCACATGCCTATAATTGGACAATGATGTTAACACAAGCATCCTGCCCCTTTGTTTATGTAAAGTGTGGGGTAGGTGGTCCCATGTTGCTTCTGGGTTCAGAGGAGCTCAGGTCCAGTCCGAACCTGAACTAATTTCTATGTCGCCTACTGTATATACACACATGTATATACACAGTTCCTCAATCACTTTTTAACTATTGCAAGAAGCAAGGCCTAGCCTCCCTAGACCTTTAACTATATACATTAATTCTGTTCACCACCACCAATACCAATGAGCCAATTGTTCCAGCAGGTAAAAAAGAATCACCCCTTCGCTTTTACAGTTGATAGTACATAGATAAAGTTATTAGTTCACTGGCAAATAATTCCTGAGCAATTACAGTAGTGGAGGGTATAAAACATGTAGCTTGAATTGCAGCTCATGAGACCTAAAAAATAAAATAGCTGAAAATTAGGGAGGATTAAAAAAGCAAATAACACATTCATTTTAGTTTAGTCAGTTGAACTGCATGTCCAGTTAGAGAAAAGCGGATGTGTGAGATACTGCCATATGATATCGCCCAGTTGGAGTACAACTGACAAATACAATAGTTATATAAGAGGCTGTTCTAAAGAAAGAGGCTTTTGTTCTACAGAAAGATTGTCATGCTAGTGACTGTCCTTTAAGAAACTTCCATGTTAGAAAAAGACTGAATGTGATAGACTCTTGTATTAGAGAGATGCTTATATATGGCCACTCGTAGCCACCGTCCTGTTAGAGACTGCTATGTAAGAGGCTTCCCAGCTAAAAAGAGATTGTCATGATGTAAATAAAGGGAACACAAAACTGTACCCACAAATCTCTGTGATACAAAGTAATTATTCAATCACAGGGGTGTCCCTAGACTTTTGCCTACTGTGCCTACTGTGGCGTGGAGGATATCAGTTCTGACGAAGGGGGCGTGACCCTGGAAACGCATTAACGCAGGCATTTTGTGCTGGCACACAGGCTGACTGTGCAGCTTCTCATTGACGTCCTCCATGCTTTTGTTGAATGCTTTTATTTGATCCACCATTGTGAGTATGATTCTACTCTGTTTTGCTACTTTTTATTATTAAAAACAATCTGCACTAGGGTGGGCGCCCTTCTCTTTTGTTTTCTCAAAGTGTTACAGTTCCCCCGGCTGCAGTGGGGCAGCGCCCCTAGTAATCCCTCACATGCACTTTTCGGTTGATGTTCCTACTTGGCGCTTTTGATTTGTCTATTCGGTTAACTTTTCTCTATTCTATCCAATCTACAAAACAAAAGTACAAACAATTGGTTGGAGTTGGGGTTCAAGTTGGTTGGCGTTAGGTTTCCAGGTGCTTATCAGTAGATATCAGTTCATCTTTGAAGTGTGGTCTTTTATTGGGAAGATTCTATTTGTTCAGGGAGTGAATCAACAGGTTGTTTTATTTTTATTGTTTATATTTTTAATTTCTACATATTTGTATGTATTGTTTTATTTTTCATTTCTACATCTCTTATTTCTACATTTCTACATTTTCTTATTTTACTAAGAATGGGTTACCAAAAGCTATGGCACATGTCCAGCACAGAGATCCAATAGCACTGCAAATGTTTAGCTGTGTTTGTTCTAAAATATTTGGCTGGATGCCATTATTTCACTGTGCTGAGACTTATAAACTGTTAGGTCATATTGTTAAGCCACTCCTTATAGACATATAAATCCTGACCTACTTTGCATTTATATTCATTTTGTTGTGCAAAAATGGAGACAGCTTTTACAGACAAGGATACTTACCAAGACATATTTGATCCACATGCATATTGTAATATCTACTACGGCCCCAAATCAGGACTTTTAGTAGTTGATGGATTTCTGGATTTTGCACTGAAGAAACTTTGTGATGCTTTCACTGTGCGTAAGTACTGCATAGCTACTCTCTTATTTGAGTCAATCTAATGCACTTTATGTTGCAGCTAAGTGCCATAGTAATGTATAATAATTTCCAGCTACTAAATATTATCGGTACTCTCAAGGTTAGGGTGTCATACTGTTATCTACTTATTTCAGAAGGGAATGTACAAAAGTAGAACATTCATATAGAAGAACTGAAAGGCTTAAATACTGTATCGATGAAAACTGTCGAAAAAAGAACATTTGTAGGCAAGGACGACAGTAACAGAGATTATGTGTCTGTTTAGAGTTCAACACAGACTGACAACACTGAACTATAAAGCAGAGAAAATGATATATATATATATATATATATAT